TTCGGGAAAAGACCGGGACCGGGCTCTTGTTTCCAGGGCAACGGACGCGCGTCAAGTATTTTTGTCCCGTTTGTCCACGGCATCAAAGACGCGCATCGGGGGCGTCTAAACTCAAATGCAAACGCGTCCAAATAGAGGCGTCAAGGCGTTTTTTGACGCTTTGGTGTGAACGCCCCTTAAGGCTTTCGGCATTTAGCCAGGCTGGTGCAACCTAGTGTCTCCGCTCAATTTCATTTCTCTCCAGCGAACCTCGAAAGTGCAAGTTCGAGCACCAGTCAATCCGAGAAGAGTCATACTTTCTGTGTTGGCAACGATTCCCGAGATCGAGGATTTGAAGCTGGAACAAAGAGAATGTTTGGTGAATTTTATCAAGGGGAAAGACGTTATTGCTCTTCTTCCTACGGAATTTGGGAAAAGCTTAATATACCAGTTAGCCCCGTTAGTTGCGCATTACACACGTCACGACCAAATAGCAGTGATTGGTTAAATTAAAAAAGTATCCGTCTACTGTCGAGCGAACGAATCCTAATGCTGCGAGGTCAGATGGTTTCTACAAAGCAAAACCGGCTGATGAATCATTAGCAGCTAACCAAAATCTTAAAGCGGTGAAATACAAGTATGGTATAGCATTGAGGCTCATATTTTTGTTAAATTTCCATCACAGTATAATTGTTTGTCTTAAAAGGTCCTTTATTATGCTAAATTGACTCTTGTGAGCTTCAAGCCATGCTATAAAAAGGTTATCTCATCAAAAACAGACCTGGAGTTGTGTTTTGTTTCATTCACACATCCCTACAGAGTAATAATAAAGAACATGAAACCGTATCCAATTCTCTTGATACAATATTTTCATGTGGTACGATACTGCGATATTGTAGACTAACAAAATTGTGAATATGCTACTTTTCTCTCGTCATAATCCAAATAATTAAGTTTTATGAGTTATTTCAGACTGTGGATTGGACTGAAACAGCGCAAAGGATCATGGTCTATGTAGTTCCTTCTGTTTTCTTGACTCTATTGCTGCGCCATAACTCTTAATTTAAGCAAAAAGGCTTCGAATTCGATATGTTTTGATGGTCCATGATATTATTGTGAGACTTTTGACGATACGATATCACAATATTTCGGTTATTGTTACATCCTTATTAGTCTGTCTACATCTCAAAGCTCAAAATGCTCCGTTCCACTTCGAGATCAGGATCTAACTTTTATTTTTTCTACAGTCGAGATAGGGAATTCTAGAGATGAAATGATCCAACCTGACGCTATCTGGTTGATAGCAAAAGCTGCCTTCAAAAACACTAAATAAGTCCAGCTGTTTTCGTTTAACTTGTTGATAAGAGAGTGTTTTAAGATTGAGAGAAGAACACAGACTAAATACTCAGGGTTTGTGTGTTAAACATGTGTGAATGAAACAAAAAAAACACAACTCCAGGTCTGTTTATGATGAGGAAACATTATAATATAGCTAAGAAAACAGCGTAATATAGGTTCTTAAGGGCATTATGTAAATTTTCTGGTTAAGATGTTATTGCTTTGCTTATATAACATCTTACACAGGTTTTATAGCCTTGGAAAAATCTTCTATTTCTTCTAAATCTTCTATCCTCTCCACAGATCTGACTTAAAGCAATAACATTTCCATGGAGTCAAGTAGGTCACGGGCTGTCTACCTCAAAAGTTACATGATGCACCTTTAAAAATGCTTTATCAAGTTAGGGATGTAACAATAACCGAAATATCTTGATATCGTATCGTCAAAGTTCTCACAATGATATCGTGGACCATCACAATATATCAAATTTGCTTAAATTAAGAGTTATGGAGCAGCAATAACTAAAAAAAGACAGAGGGAACTACATAGACCATGATCCTTTGCTCCATTTCAGTGCAGACTACAAGAAGAAATAACAGTTCTAACACTTTTAAGTCTTAGTTCTTTGGATTAAGTCTTGTCAAGGCATTTTAAAGAGAAAAATATTCACAGTTTTGTTCGCCTCCACAAAATATCGCTATAAATATCGTGCCGTGAGATGTATATCGTGAAAATATAAATAAAACCCAGAGATTTGGATATTGTTACATCCCTAATCGTGAGCTTTCCCACGATATCGCAATAAATATCGTATCGTGAGACTTGGATATCGTTACACTCCCGGTACAAGTGTGAGAGAGACAAAATGGGTGCATCTCTCTCCTTTTGGTGTCACAATTCCAGGGCTGAAATCATCCAAATTGTTCTAACTTTTGGAAACAAAGAGTCGATTGTTTCCAAAAACGATTCATTTGGTTCTTATCGTTTTTGCTTTTCTGGCTTTGGATGAAATGAAACTGAAAGTAAAATCATTCAAAGGGCGTTCAAAAAGTTGAATTCACACGATTGAGTGACCCTTTATTGTTCGTCTGTCTGCGCATTCAAAGCTGAAAAATGCTCCGTTCCACCTTGTGATGTCGCGAAGAGATAGTTTTCAAGAAAGATAAAATGGGTGCATCTCTCTTCCTTTTGTGTCACAATTTCAGGGCTGAAATTATCCAAATAATTCTCATGAAGGTGTGTGGAGTTTAAAAACCCCGTGGAGCACTTTCTGTATCACCACATGACATCACAAAGTGGAAGTGAAAGCTTTCTGTTTGAGAGAAGAACACAGCTTAAATATTCAGGGTTTGTGTGTTAAACAAAGCGAAACAAAACACAACTCCAGGTTTGTTTGCGATGAGGAAACAACAGTACAACAGATTTGAAAAAAGCGTAACATGGACCATTGAACCTGGACTAGACCCCGACTAATCCAGGACTAAAACAAGACCAAACATCGGGATTAAACCAGGACCAAACCAGGACACGCTGAGCACAGCCTTGAGTAAGATTTATCCATAGTCTCCTTGGAAAAAAGTTGATTTATTGTGTAACCAAGTAGGCCTAAACCTGCACGATGGTGTCACAAAGCTAATTCTCAGACAAAAACAATGTAGTCTACGTGTACATTAGAGATAAAACAGGCTGCCATTCATTCCCATGCTTCAAGAACACTGTTAATCAACCCGTCACTTCGTATAACCCTTTGCAACTACGAACATTTCAAATTCTGACCTTTACGCGTTCTAAAACTGCCATAAAGATGTATGGAGTTTAAAAACACACTGGAGCGCTTTCTGTATCACCACATGACATCACAAAGTGGAGGTGAATGGTTTTGTTTCGGAGAAAAACCCACCTTAAATACGCAGCATTTGTGTGGTAAACAAAGCAAAACAAAACACAACTCCGGGTCTGTTTGCGATGGGGAAACAAAATTATATTATATACATGGACCATTTAACCGGGACTGAAACCAGAGCTAAAGAACTTGCTGCACAAGACCCCGACTAATCCAGGACTAAAACAAGACCAACATCGGGATTAAACCAGGACCAAACCAGGACACGCTGAGCACAGCCTTGAGTAAGATTTATCCATAGTCTAGTAGGCCTAAACCTGCACGATGGTGTCACAAAGCTAATTCTCAGACAAAAACAATGTAGTCTACGTGTACATTAGAGATAATACAGGCTGCCATTCATTCCCATGCTTCAAAAACACTGTTAATCAACCCGTCACTTCGTATAACCCTTTGCAACTACGAACTGTCTCTTTCTACACAAGCGCATTTCAAATTCTGAACTTTTCATGCACTAGCGTTGCCATAAAGATGCATGGAGTTTAAAAACACAGTGGAGCGCTTTCCGTATCACCACATGACATCACAAAGTGGAAGTGAATGTTTTTGTTTCGGAGAAAAAACACCATAAATAAGCAGGGTTTGTGTGTTAAAAAAAAAACGCAAAACAAAACACAACTCCAGGTTTGTTTGCGATGAGGAAACAACAGTACAACAGATTTCAAAAAAGCGTAACATGGACCATTTAACCTGGACTAGACCCCGACTAATCCAGGACTAAAACAAGACCAAACATCGGGATTAAACCAGGACCAAACCAGGACACGCTGAGCACAGCCTTGAGTAAGACTTATCCATAGTCTCCTTGGGAAAAAAGTTGATTTATTGTGTAACCAAGTAGGCCTAAACCTGCACGATGGTGTCACAAAGCTAATTCTCAGACAAAAACAATGTAGTCTACGTGTACATTAGAGATAATACAGGCTGCCATTCATTCCCGTGCTTCAAAAACACTGGCCCTAGGTGCATGTTAATCAACCCGTCACTTCGTATAACCCGAACATTTCAAATTCTGACCTTTACGCGCACTAGCATTGCCGTAAACCTTTAATATATCGCGTATAACACATCAACCACACCTCCAGATAGTGACAACAAACGCATGCCGGGGCCAGCGCTTGTTTGTTCCCCCCGTGAGGAAGCTCCAGCACCGGTACGGACGCCGGATCACACCGCTACACCGTTACACCGCTACACCGTTACGCATAACCCCCCCTCCAAAACAACCACAACATCCGTGCGCCTCTTACTTCCCGTGGAGGTCAAACGAATTTCACTCCAATTTCACGTCCACAACTCGCGTCAGGCAACCCCACGCAGACACGCAGACAGCTAGCCCCGAAAGCTACGATGTTTTAGCAACGCCAGTCCCGTTATTTTTGGCGCATAACGCACAACAATCGCCGCCAATTACCCGCGTTTGCACTTCGCCGTGGAGCTACCGGGTGAACACCGCCTCGGATGTCGTGGAGGCTGGTAGCGTCGCTTCACTGAACAGTTTGGGCATCCCGGTTTGCGTTTTTTTTTTTTTTCCAGCACGCATTGCCAAACAGAGCAGGAGCTGGTTAAGTTAGGTAGCTAGGACGCACGCAAAAAACGCAAGCAGAGCGCGTAAAAACAAGCAGAAACGCGGCGGGGGCCAAGCGGGACGACAGCGAACGCCCGCGTCTCCCTGTGACCGCTATCCGGGCACCAACAGGCCGGGGGGATGTAGCGGGTTGCATCGGGGCAGACGCTGGCTCTACGTTTCCGCCATGCAAGCGAGTTATTTGCACGTACCTTGGTTGGACATGCTACACCGGCTCCCCGAAGCATCCGAGCCGGGGTTTGCTGGACGTTCCCTGTGGCGCAGTAGCTCCCGGGGTGAGTCGCTCCGCAAAATAAGATGTGGGGAAACGTAGCCAAGGGAGCAGGAACTGTAAACGAGGCGGTCTGCGTGGATAGAGCAGCGGGCGAAGCGGTTCTGTGACGATCCGCTGTATGGCCGGTGTCAACAACAAGTGCGAAAGCGTGAGGGGAGCGCATCCGGTCAGCGCGCTTCACAATAAAAGTCGAAGTCGTTTTGGGGGGTAAAGTAAAGATGTGGTGAGGGGTGTCAAACTCATTTTGGTCCCGGGGCCGTATCCAACCTAAAAAAAAACAAAAAACGTCACTTCGTATAACCCTTTACAATTACGAACATTTCAAATTCTGACCTTTACGTGCACCATAAAGATGTATGGAGTTTAAAAACACAGTGGAGTGCTTTCTGTATCACCACATGACATCACAAAGTGGAAGTGAATGTTTTTGTTTCTGAGAAAAAAAAAAACATCTTAAATACGCAGAGTTTGTGTGTTAAACAACCTACTTTGATCTGAAATAAATAAATAAATGGCATATACACCCCAAAAATTGCAATACGTTCAAATATTTGTGCAGAGAAATGCAAATTTATTACAGAAATCTTTTTAATTGATGAACGTTTTCTTTTACAAAATATTATAATATTATGAACAACCTGAAACTTTAAGAAAAATGCAATTTCAACACAATGTTTTAACTTTAACTTGTATGTAAATAGGAATAAGTAAATTTTTGGGGGGGGGGAAATCCTGCACTCGGCTCCACTTTTCTCATTTTTCAATCAATCAATCAATCAAACTTTATTTGTATAGCACTTTTCATACATTTGAAATGTAGCGCAAAGTGCTTCTCATGCAACAGAAAAATTTCAATACCTTAATTACCCCCCCCCATATATACAACAATTTAAACAGAGACATAAAACATAAACATAAAGCTCTTAAAAGTTATCGTAAAAATGAAAATGGAGAGCTAAGATCAGATGGAGACTAAGTAAAATAGTAATGATAATTTAATTTAAAACAACTATAACTATAACAATAATAATTTAAGTTAAAACAGGTAAAAGTTTCAATTAAAAGCTAAATTAAAAATTAAAAATATGAACACTCGCAGCGGACCTCAGATCCATTTTTGACATTTTTCTGATGAGGGCGTCAGGGTCAACAGTCAAAACGATCGTCCTTTAAGAGCGTTTGGAAAGAGGCGAGTCTTCATTTGTGCTTGCTCTGGTGGAAAATATTTAAACATTTAAAATATTTTAGTAGAAAATCAGCCGAGGGTCAGATTAAAGGTCTTGGAGGGCCGGATCCAGCCCCCGGGCCGTATGTTTGGCACCCCTGGTCTAAGTCAAGGATCTGCTCATTTTTGGATACAAAGAGTCGACAGCAGCTGGTGAGAGCCTGTTCAGAGTTTGGGATGCAGTATGAAATAAAGTATAATTCAAAAAAGAGTGTTGTCATGATCTAAGGACGATCAAAAGTTAAGCCTCCTGTCTTTTTATTTAAATGAGAATCAGCTGACTAATGTAACAAAAACAAAATATTTGAGCCATATTATCAGAAATGACTCCTGTGATGATGACGACGACGTCCAGCGTCAATGTTGCAAACTATATTTACAAACGAATATCTTGGCACGCAAATTGAATATGTGTACAAACGATGTCAAAACGATCGTACACAGCACAACTATGGCAAAGATGAATAAGATCAAGGTGACATATAAATATAATGATGCTCTCAGAAATCTGCTAAAGACTCCAAAGTGGGAAAGTGCGAGTGCTTTGGTTGTTACTGCAAATATAGCAACACTTTATAATAACTACACCTTATTTAGCCTTAATAAAGCATGAACAAAGACTTAATTAATAATGATTCACGCTTAGTAACTACTTAATTACTACCTGAATTAGCACTTAACTTGAACTTATTCGCCTGTGCTGTAAATAGTTACTCAATACTTCTTAATTACTCATGAACTAACCATTTGCATGTTTACAAATGCATATTTAAGTACATATTTGAGCATTTATTAATGATTAGTAAACTATGAGAGAATGATTTACTAATAATGCAATGATAATTCAGGCAGCTGTTATCTGTTAGTTAAGTCTTTCTGAGAGCTTTTCTAAAGTGAAGACGAATTATGTTTATTAAACATTTGTTAAGGTTGGTGAAATTCCAGAGAAACAATAATGCAATTACTAGTAAATCATTCTCTCATGGCTTACTAATCATTAATAAATGCTCAAATTTGTACTTAAATATACATTTACAAATGCACACACAAATGGTTAGTTCATAAGTAATTAAGTAAGAAATACTTATGAGTAACTATTTACAGCACAGGCGAATTAAGAGCAAGTTAAGTGCTAATTCAGGTAGTAATTAAGTAGTTACTAAGCGTGAATCATTATTAATTAAGTCTTTATTCATGCTTTATTAAGGCTAAATAAGGTGTAGTTATTATAAAGTGTTACCCAAATATTCCCACGTTCCAGACTCCAATGAAGAACCTCATGTATAAATTTATGTTTAGGTTAAATGAATCAAGAAATGGATTTATAAAAAAAAGTTTCTGGTTTGACTTTTGCCAAGTCATATCCACTAACCCACAAAAACTTCGATACTTCTTGAGCCTGAATTTTGCCCAC